TTTAGGCACTATACAGCACCTCCAATCTTTTATGTTTGCAATGTTTTAAAATTCCATATACCTGGAAATCTGTTAAAAGTTATGTAGCCAGAATATATGTGGGCTGCTCCCATTGGGTGGACAACACCTCTGGGGAATGTGGTGTGAAGGAAGACTGAGAAGACCTGTCCTGGAACAGCCTGGCACACATTTGTCAGGTTACGAGCAGGGCTCATCCTTCACTTTCAGTGATCCACTGATTGTAAGATTAGAAGGTTGGGAGCAAAGTGACAAGAACAAATCTGTGGTTCATTCAACTTTTTAACAAATAAAAGTAACAGAGCAGTATTCAAAACCTTGGCTGGAAGGGTGTGAATATCCTAGTGTCAAGGCAATGTCAGCTTTCACTTCACTAGTTCATGCCGAAGCTCTGAAATCTCAGTTTTATCATAGACCTCGGTCTGTTTTGTTCACTTCTACATCCCCAGAATCTAAAAAAGCAATTGACGTATAAGATCTACTCAGTAAATATTTATTAAATAAATCCTGTAGAAAAGAGACAACCCTCTTTGTGTTCTCTTTGTGCTGCCTGGAATTGCTGCTGTGCCCAAGGCTTTTACCATCACTAGTACTTACTGATGGCTTTGCATGACCTTCAGAGAAGGCTGAACTTAAATGTGCTATGAGCACACACGTAAATCACCTGCATCTCAATATAAGCAGAATTAAACTTTTATCTTTCTCCTCAAATTTCTCTCTCTCTCAAATATGCATCATCTACCCAATAATGTGGGATATATTTTAGACTTCTCTCTTTCCCTATCTCAATTCCCCACTACATCCAATTTGTTGTTATCTTGGACATTCTGCCTACTTAGTATCTTTCGCACCGTTCCCCACCCTGTTATTCTCACAGCTCACTGCCTTACTTCACAGTCTCTTTATCTCTTACAGGCTTGTTATATCAGATCTTATCAGACCCGGCTGCCTCCTTCCTCAGCCTTCCCCAGGTCAGTTACTTGGAGTGTTTAGTAATTCTTCCAGATCATTGGTCTTCAAATGTCATTGGGTTTTGGTTGTTGTTTTTTCTCATTACTAAAAGAATTTTGAAAAAATATTCATATTTCCTTTTATGTTTTTAAGTTGACCTCTATACTTTTTATGGTAAGTCTAAATAGCTGCAAAAGTTGTGATTTCTAGCATAACTATTGACATTTTTAACCAAAAGAAAATCATATTATTTTTAAATGGATCTAACAGACTGTAAATACCATCGTGAGGTGATACCTACCTCTTTCTAGTTAAAATGTACATCATCAAGTTATTTTTTTCCTTCAATCATTTTTCCATTCCACTTTACCCAGAGAATGTTATTCTAATGTAATGTATTTTATTTTATGTTGGAGAGTCTTTTATTCCTTGCTCCATCATACTTTTCTAAAATATTTTTATGTCTTTAAATTGAGTTTTTTTAATTTCTTATGGACACAAAATTCTAAGAGATAAATACACATTCACTAAATACACACACACACACACACACACATATGTATATATTCTGGAGAGAGTTATATAATTATTGGTAGTACATAAGTGATAAGCAGCACATATAGTATTTTCAAAGGTCTCTTTGTTTAGTGTCCCAAAAGTTTTTACACACCAGGACAATGTACTACCTTAAAATTCAGGAAGGATGGGCAGTGTGACTTTGTTTAGCAAAGGGGGAAATGGTGGTTGTGAATAGAAATGTAAGGTGTTAAACTTGATTGACTCCTTAGGAACATATGCATCTCTAGTAGATGACTTTGGGAAAGAATTCATATGAATTCTTTTAATAGAAGAGGTGGAATTTGAGGCCTTTAAGCTATCCATGCCTACAGAACTTTAGGAGAGTCATTATATTCCCCTGGGTTTCATAGATACCAATTTGGAGAATACTGTTCTAGATCACAAATCAGATAAGACCACTCTCCCTGCTTAATTGCCCAGTGTTTCTCTTGGGAACTAGATGGGACAATTTTGGATCCTACTTGATCTGCCTCCCATGATTCTTTGTCATCTTCTTTAATTTCTCTGTTTTCAGCCCATCCTAGCAGTATCAACCTACTTACCATGCCTTGAATACTGCAATGCTGTTCCATCCATCCATGCTTTTACACCCCTTTCCCCACTGGCTTAATCACAGCCATTTTGTGGAACTGAAATAAGGGTTACTGATTCTTGGAAAATACCTTTCTCTAGGTGTTAGATAAAGGTTGGCAATTATGATTTTTCTCATATGGAAATTATAAATAAAAGACTTTAAAAGTTTCCCTTCAACATTAGTGAGGATAAATAACATACTAAACTCTAGTTTTTCCTTCAAATATATTGAAAATTTAGAATGAATGCAAGCAATTGAGACTGAGAGATAACCAGAAAGCTCGCCCAAGAATCAAATAATACAAATAAAAAGTGATAATCAATATTCTGTTGCAACCAGTGCATATAAACATGTGTGTGATATATGGAATGCAACTATAGTACCCAAGATCCCCACCCACTGGTGTACAGTCTGTATAATGCACTCCCCTTAAGTGTGGGTGTGAACATTATGGGAGAGCTACTCCTGTGATTAGCTTATTAGCTTATATTAGCTTCATAAAAGTGAAGAGAATTTGCAGATGTAATTAAAGTCCCTAATCAGTTGAATTTAAGTTAATTAAAGGAAGACTATCTTAGATGAGTCTTTCTTAATCAAGCCAGAACTTTAAAAGAGGGTGTAGGGGTCAGAGGCTCACAATAACAGAAATCTATCCTGTTGGCTTTGAAGAGGTAAACTGACAGATTGTGGAGAGGATCAGATGATAAGAAGCAATAGGCATTCTCTAGGAGCTGAGGACTTCAGCACTACAACCACAAGAAACTGAATTCTGCCAATAACTGGTGAACTTGGAATGGAATCCTGAGTCTTAGATGAAACCATAGTTCTGGCAGGCACCTGAATTATGGCCTTGTGACATTCTAAGCAGAGAACCCACCTGAGTCATGCCTGGACTACTTACCAAGAGAAGCTATGAGATAATAAATATATATTGTTTTAAGCCACTAAGATTTTTTGTAACTTGTTATGCAGCAGTAGAAAACTAATGCACAATTGAAATTACCACCAAATTTCTTGATTTTGCATTATAGGCTTTATTATATATTGAAGCCAAAATATTTGAAAGGATATTCATAAAAAATAATCTCATACTTATTAAAATTCCAAAATGTCAACTTTTATTCATTTTAATAAAAATGTAGACTTTCTATGTAATTTTGTAAATGAAAAGCTTCCCTATAATAAATTATTTCTAAAATATTTCCAAAGCTCAAAAGATTATTTTAATCTTAACTCTGTAAGTTTGATTCACAAGTTCTACTGTTTTCTTAGAATTAACATCTTATAAACACTGCCCTCTGTTTAACAAAGCCATCAGAATTATTACATGTCACTTGTATAATTAGTTAAGTCTTCCTTGGACAGAAAAGAAAAAAAAAGAACATTTATCTAATAATTGGGAAGTGTTACATTCATTCTATTGCTTTCTTCTTCCAATGTATTTTTAAAATAACCAAAGATTGGTTGGAAAATGAAGAGGAGAGCAACACTTGGATATTTTTGGGGGTGTGTGTGTCAGTTGAAGGGTAAATGTGTAGGTGCATATGCATGTGTGTGTCTGTATTTATACTGGTATTATTCCAGTGGTGATTTATAAGAGTACCTAAAATGTAAGGTACATTTTTTCCTTACAAAAATGTAAGGAAAACAGTTGTTTTATTGTACCTAAATGGTCTAGAATGATGAAAAGAGTAACATGATTTTAAAAGTCAACAAGTGGGACTAATTCAATCTTTACAGAGAAACACTGTCACAGGAGTCATCTTTTATTTTAAAGAACCAAGCAGATGATTCAATTTTCTTGGAACATTGAGTTCACATTGAGAGCCTTCCAGATTCTGCAGTTATTTCACATATGCCAGACTCATCCCCTTTCTATGGGCTTTGAGTCATCCAAAACACTTCCTTTTATTAGCAGGTCTAAATGAAGAGAGATTTACTTTGGCAGTATCATACTGTGGATAACACCAAATTAGGTTTGTTCAAAGGAATATCCCCATCCTCTTTATAACAGCAAGCCAATTTATAACATTATTACACCTTACTAAATTTATGCAATTCTACTGGTCTTAAAGTCTTTTAGGATTCAGTTGAAAAACTAAGACCTGTACTCATAGAAATAAAAGCATGTCTATATCTAATTATTACTGATTAGTATTATTTCAGAAAAGAGTAAAAATACCTGAGTTAACCATGGAGGAGAGGACCAAGCATACAGATATTAGAGGGATACCACAAAGCAAGTGAGAGAAGAAACTTTTTATACATTCAGAGAGTGGGTAAAGGACAATATATAGAAAAGAATTGTAGGATTGCTAAAAGAGGTTGAAACAGAATGCAGGTTGTATATAGGAACAGCCACAGAGTTGGGGATCAGCTCCTAGAGATGAAAGATGCCTGCGAGAGTCTTCTGCTAGACTGGTTACTCATCACTGCAGCTTCTGTCCTTCACCAGAAGAGGTTCATGGTGAGCTGACAGCCAATGTTATATCTTGCAGGGGAAAGGCAGGGAAAGGATACAGGATTGGAAAGTAAGAATCTAAGGTCCTAGCTTTCACAGCCTAATGACGTTATGATACTACATATAATCTTCGATTGTGTTCTCCTTTGGTGGATTTCTTTTTCTTTTTCTTGATAACATGAAAATGCTTAGGCCTTTCAATAAGTACCAATGTTTTGTGTGTATGTGTTCATTTGCTTATTTATCTCTTTCAAAATAATGGCTTGGATAGGATTATGTAACACATTTTAAAAATATTAAAACCTACACACATTAAAACATCAAGTAAAATAGTTGTTAACCTGTCTCACTAATAATCACCTGCTTCGATCCAATCTGTGAGAGAAAAAGGAAGCAATAAATTTGACCCTAACTTACCACACATTTTAATTGCACAGTATTCCCAAGGGGTGTCAGGGTCAAGAGTATAGCACCATGGCCTCGGCTTGCCATCGGGATTGCGGCAATAATTATCATCAAAGCCCTTGTCAGGATATCTGCAAAGCACACCAACAAAAGTGTCATGTAAATCTGCCTGGAAACACCACCCAGCCCTCAGCTCACAAAATAACTTCTAATTCAGCTCAGATACTGCTAGCTGGGGGAAAAACAGGTTCTCTAAGTTTTGCCTTACAAAAACTGCTAATCATTGGCTATCAAATCTATTAACTTACATATTCCATCAAGTATAGAGTACCATCATCTTTGCTGATTAGTTAAGACGATTTGGTGGTACCTGTCTACCAGCTGAGGTCCCAAACCAAATCCCCTTTTCATAAAGTCCAATTAAAGATAGATTACATAAATGTGACCTCATATAAAATGCTCATTAAGAAAACAGGTTCTCTTCTATGGCAGGCTTAAAGTTTAAACCAAAAGGTAGGTTTCAATAGCTGTTACTAATGATAACTCAATTCTGGAACCAGAGCCTTTCTAGGTCATGCCCTCACCTCCACCAGAGCAAGAGACAAACTCCATCACACCCCTTTCTCTATACCCTCCTCCCTTTAAATTAACTGGGGCCTGCATTGGTGACTTGATTTTAATTGCTAACATGTCCCTTTTGCTCTCACTTGAAAGACTAGAGACGCACTTAAAAATAATGCAGAGTTTTAATTTCATTTAGAACAATAAATAAAAATATAAAGAAGAGAAAACACCTTTATAAAAACACTTTTCTAAACAAAGATAGGGATAGAGTTTCCTCTGGAATTATCTTTATTTTTATTCTTTATAATAAAAATAAGAGAATTTTTTTTTTTTCAACTAAAACATGTCATGTGAAATGAATGGGCCAAAGTAGACATTTATTTTAACCATTTAAGTCCCAAACCTACTTCTGGGGAGAAAGTAGACTTGGTTACCTGACTTCTCCAGATTGGCAATTTCAAAATACAACAGGATAAAGCAGCCAAATAATTGTTTGCTCTACCTTTATTCCCTTTCTATGGGCATGACCTTTGCCATGTTGTCACACACATGGGCCCATTTTACCTAACTCACTGGAGATGTGGCTTGAGAAGGAGACTGGCCTGTATTTAGCAATAATGCCTCCTCTCACAGCCCAGGATGGTCAAAATGGCCATTATTGAAGGGGCCTCTGTCTTTTTTTCTGCTGTGGAAGAGAAAGAGAAGCTTCTGTTAGCTTCCCTTCCACACTCCACTGAATCTCCTCAGGACCGTCCTGATTTCCGGGAATCAAAATCTGGTCAGCCAAGAACAGCTGGAGCTCTAGACAGGGTTCTCATATACCTCATCATACATCCCTTTGGCCAAGACTCTCCAGAAAACAACGTATAAAGAGAATTTCTATTTCAGTTTGTCATGGAGCAAATAACAGTTTTAGAAAAGAATCATTGGTAGAATGACTGGTGGTATTGTACCTTTCTGGCATGAATTTGTGCCGATGTGGAGTCTGATGATCCCAGCGCTGACAAATCTTGCCTGATTCTGTATGATCCATGGGACCTCGATAACTTTCCCCATTGCAGGTCATACATTCGACTAATAAAATTAAAGTATGGCATGTTAATTGCTTCTGACAGAAAAATCAAAAACACCACTGTTCCATTTAAAGAACAGTAAATCACCTGTTAACAAAGAGATTTTTAGAAAACCTTACATACCATTTAAACTTTAAATTATGGCTTAATGTCCATAAAGAGTGACATAAAATACTCCTTACAGAACTTTTCATATAGCTTAAATGGGATTTTTGTACTTAGTGTCATACAGATTTACCATAGGGCCAGGACACTACCTTTCTAATTTTTCAATAACTGTCCAAAAGGTACTTAGAAACTGGAAATATCAGATAGAACTTTTCTCTTAGTTGGTCTAAAATGCAAGGGATCCCAGTAGCTATACTGTCAGTATAGTAATGCTCCTCTCTCAGCTTAACCTCCAATTACATACACTGGAAATGAGAATACATCTTACTCCCATGGCTACTGCCAAAATAGGATGAAATACATTGGAGAGACAGCTTTGAATAGAAATCTGGTACTGTTCAAGAAACATGGATATTTTAAAAGAAGAAATCACAGCTCCTTTCTGTTAGTGAACATCCATGTTGAATAACTGAGCAGGCTTTATTCTTATCTAGCTTAGGATAGAAGTTGACCTGCTATTGAACTCCTTGCACTCACTGTTTTTAAAATGTATAAGCTGATCTAGTTATGCAGGGTCTTACTGATGATTTTGTGTGGTTAATTAATAGTTCTCTTCTGGCTGGCCTCTTATGTCACACTGAAAACTCTGAATCACATCAACTAGCTGAAAAAGAGACTTCTCCAGTGGACAGGGTGATTTGTAGCACAGCAGGCACCCTGTGGAATAAATCATCGCTTGGCTTTCCTACGGATCAGGCAAACTTCCCCAAACACATCATTTGTATCTTGTGATTACTGATAGTCTAACTTTAACTGAAAGGCAGCAAAGATATCAGTGTTTAGTTTTATCTACCAAGATCTAGCCTAATTAGCATTTGTAATAATTTGGGATATAATATCAGAAAACTCACTTTTGAACCTTTGATTTTTATAATCTAATAGAACATTAACTATTAACTTTTTGAAACATGAGACAGCTGGGCTTGATCTATCTACTTCTTTCCTTATAGTTTAATATGTGAACTAAGACAAGGAGGCAATTGAGCTTCCTCTCATTTGATCCTGAAATTCCCCAGACTACAGTCAGTAAGCACCTACACTATAAGCGACAGGGGTCCAAGAGCATATTGATAAAGTTCCTCTGTTTGGCCAAGGTCATTTCCACATTGAAAAGCTCAACATAGCTTATGCCTTATCACATTTCAGCTTTCCATTTGAATGAGGTACAGATTTATTAATTCCCTTTTTTAAAAGAATGCAAGGTTTGATATCTTCACAAAATGATGTGACACTTATCATTGTTGTTTGTTCTTTTGTAATGAAATGAATGAAATTGAATGAGAAATGAATTCAATTAAGTGAAAATTAGAATAAAATACTATGGTCACACATAAGAGATAAGTACCTACATACGCAATTTCTAACCTTGTATAGTACTTCAAAAATTAGAATATACTTATTTTATCTCCTTCAGCAAATGCAGTTTATAAGAGTCTATCCCTTTATGTGAGAGTGGATAAAATTATTTTCTAGGAAGCTGTACTATGGGGATTATTATAAAATATTTTTCCTGGATTTCAGGATTTAATTTTCCTATGACCACTTTCTAGAATGAGTGTGGTCAACCACTGCTTCTCCAAACTTTAATGTTCATAAAAAGTCACTTTGAGATCTTGTCATAAGGCACGCTCTCATAAAGGGTATTAGGGGTGGAGGTGCTCCTGGTGGATGCTGATGCTTCTGGTCTTTGGACCTCATGTTGAGTAGCAAGTTTGTAGATAATTTGTTCTATTCTAAAAGTTCTAAGCATTTTTCAGTAATGGCTTTTTAGAAGAGAATAGATTTTACTTGGTCCTTGAAGGATGGGTGAAGGTTAAATAAGCTAAAAGGAGGTCAAATGCCATAAAATGGTATAGAAACATGAATTAGTACATTATATTTACAGTAAAGTGAAGAGATAATTATGGATGCAGTTTCAAACCCTGTGAGATTTGTTAAAATAATAAAAGTTAACAAGAATAATGTTAGATTTCAGTAGTCAATGAATGTGTGTTGTGATAGAAGTGAGATGCTAAATATATTATTGTTACATATTCTTTAATTATTCAGTATTTTTAATATATAAAAAATCATTTGATCTTTGTGAGGAAAAACTCACAAAATTTTTAAAGGACTTACCTAAAACAGAAAATGTCAAACTTGTGCTTGGAACACAAGTCTTCTGACCCACAGTCCAGTGTTCTTTCCATTCTCCCTAATTGCCTTGTGTCCTACATATTTTAATGTGCTCCCTATACATTCTAATAGGTCATACTTTAAGACAGACTGATAGAAATAATTTTAGAAAGTCCACCTCCCTGACTTTTCCAGCATTTTCCCAATTACCCTTTACCCTCTTGTTTAAAACAGTAGGTTGTCCTCCTATTGGATTTTCACCTGTTGGGAGATGTGGAAAAAGAGGCCATGGGAAAGCAGATAGATTGGCCATCTTTTCCAAGCCTAAAAAGTTTGTTGGTTTACCAGTGCATCGAACCATCAGGTTAGTCTTAAACATTACCTCAAGAAAGCCAAACTCTAAGCCCACAGTCACTTTTCAAACTTCCATAATTCTAAGACTCTTCTTAGAATGTTTTTGCAGCTCAAAGTTAAGCAGTATAGATAATACAGGTAGAAACCAAGTCTATCTACTCAAGGAATCAGGTGAAAGCATAATCTATATAACTGTGCAAGAAGGTAAGAATTGCCCTTCCTGCTCTATTTTTAATTTTTTTTATTTTTTGGTTTTCTCTATTGGAGCCAGTATATTATTTAACCCTTCTAGCAAAGTCTTCCCTTTAAAACAAAAGAACAAATAGTAAAATACTGTTCTAGATCACATAAGCACAAACTAAATAAATATTTCTATTCATAAATAGAATGTTTTTCTAAATATAGTCTGACATAAATAATAGTAGAAAACTATAAAAAATGACACATAAATTATAACATAAGTAGGATTAACTTAACATCTTTCTCATCGTATTAACCAACTAACTCAAAAAATATTGTGTTCCACTTTTCTCAATCATAAAACCACAAGTGATCTGAGTTTACAGACTAACACAGACATTTTGAAAGTATCTCTCAGCAAATTCCATGCTGGTGATTACTTCAGAAACACTGAATGTTTAAAATATGGATAGTCTCACAAATCCACATTTATAAATAATAGTTTTATTTAAACCTTTGTTTTTAAAAGTCTTTTTCCACACAGAGTATGGAATTAACACATAAAGTTATGGCAATATCATTTGGGATATTAAGTGTAAGACATTAAAAAATAATGATTATGGATATCTGACAATCATTAAAAAGACATCTGTTCCAATGACTAGTGTTGGCTTTATTTCAAATCCCAAGCAAATGTTAAAACAAGAAATTAAATTTTACATACCTCAGTTTTATACAACCTTTGAATCAAACATTAATGGTCTTTTTTTCTTCACACAATTACGTAAGGCTTAAATGTGAAAAAGTATTTATTTTCTATTGGAATGCTTAATATATTTCAAAGTTTTAAATTATAAGAATGTAATATTAACCATTGGACATCAGATATATATCATCTATGAACCAAACTTTCAGATAAATTTCAGATGATTATTTAGTAGAGTTAAATTGTTACAAAAATTTCAAATATATATATACTGTTCTACATGTCTTTTTTAAAAGAACAGTTTAAAGTTTGACCTCAGGTATTTTTCTTAATTTTAAATATACAAAATGATTTGATTATTTGTATCTTAATAAAAATGTACAGTGTACCTTATTTTGAGTATTTTTTATTACTTATTTTATAAAGAGCTCTGCTTTTCTTTATTAATGTATTGGTAATGCTTCTTATTTTGCATCCTCTTTATTAAAATCCTGCTAAAACATTGTTCATTATAGGATGAATTTAAACATCTCAACTCAGTTCATGCTCCCTGAGATATGTTTAACCTATAGGGCAGGTGTTGGTTTACTTCTCTCACAGGTGAGTTATTCTACTACCAGATCTCTAATTGTTTCCAGAAAAAGCATACCTGCAACCTTCAGTGCCATGGTAACCACGAGCATCATGTACCATTACAATAATGAGCAACACCCTTTTCCAAGAGAGATGCAGTGACCTCAAATAATTAAAGGATATTAGAGATGTATAATCTAATGAAATAAGAATAACTGGAAAGATGACTTTTACAATTACTTCTTTTCTAGCATGTTTATTCTATACTGCATATCATTTCAAATCTATGCCAGTGTATTTTGATGAAGGTTCCTCTTATAAACCAGGGGTTGAAAAATCACATTCTCACACAGACTAGGCAGGTAACAAATGCTAAACTGTTTACAGTTTGACCAAGTTACCTTCCCTTGAAAACATTTTCTCAGGTAAAACAAAACCAATTATAAAACTCGCAATGACTTTCAACCTCAGAAAACTGTGATAATGGAGAGTTTCCAAAAAGTAGGTTATTTTCTTCCATGTGTAAATTTAAGACAAACATTAATTACAGACTTATTCATACAAAACAGACTTGTTCATCATGTTATCACAGATCAGTTTATTATTTTTAAAAGAAAAGAAAACAATGATGAAGAAGTTATAGTGAACAGAATACGATATGGAATGAATGAAAAGTAAGAATTTACAAATGGACAAGGAACTGGCTCTAGCACATGAAGGCAAGAATTTTAAATTAACTAACAACAGAAAACAAATTCACCTTCTCCATGACAACTAACAATGAATGGTCTTTTTACGTGATAATATCAACCTAATACTAAATTGATATTTATGGAACAAATATATTTTTTTAAAAAATTGGTTTCTAACAAATAGGTAAGATAACTTACTATAACAATTGGACAGTACTTCAGCAGAACCCCACACCCAAGTACTTCAAATCCTACTAAATTTCTATCAGAATTTAATCCATGTTTCATTTGGATTTTCAGAATTTTGGTTTCTGACAGAACAGCTATTCAGGAGCCAGATAACTAAGAAAAATAAAAGCATATACAATGCTGAAATGGTTACTCTCTCTTTTTGTCAGTCATTCAGTTTTCCACTGCGAAAGTAAGGACAGTGCCCTCTTATGCTATGAGAGGAGATAAAAACATAGGCACGGATTTAGGGTGCCTGCCTTTAAGACAGCCTTGATCTCTTCAGACTCTACTCTGAATGGCGTTCCAGTCTATGTACTGGATTTGGTTCTAGTCACTTTTGCACCAAAACGCACACAAGTGTCCAATTCCAGGGACCCCCTCCCATTTCCCTCCTGGGCCCAAATGCCCTTGCCTCACCCCTTCAGAGTAGCTTTGACAAAACTGTGGAAGCAGGAGCTTGATGGCTAGAGAACTAGGTCTACTCACAAAGGGCTAAGTTTCACTTGGCTCCGATCAGAAGATGTAGGAGCATCAGACTTTGAGGCATGTGAGCTCCAGGCAGTTCATGGAGAAGCCCCAACTTTTCCTCTCCCCAGAATGATGCCTGGGGCGCTAGTGAAACTTACAGACTGATAACTCACTCCATTATTCTGCATTAATCTGCTGATAATCAGGTTTGAAAACTTTGTAGAAAATGCTCAAATAATTGCCTATAGTTGTATTTGAATGAACAACATGTTTATTGCGATTGGATTGTTTTGTTAGCCTTTCACACGAGCTGCAGTTCTACACAAAGGAGGAGCAGAGCGCCCCGCCCGGCACTCAGGTTCATTTACCTTCTGAACACTGGGGAATGTCACAGACTTCGTAGCGTACCTCTGGGTTGCTTGTGAAACACCAAGGTCCCCCTTCTTCCCCTCGAGGATTTCGACAGTAGTTTTCCTGTAGGTCTTTACCCCGATAGCTCGAAGGCAAAAAGCTAGTTTTAAAATGATAATCATTACAGTATAAGAGCATGCAACTTTACTTCAGGCTTATTAATTTTACTAATTAGTGGGTATGCTTTTCCTGGAAGTAGAGAAACCTTTGTTCTAACTCAGACCTCCGTATAGAGGGTGGGGCAAAAGTAGATTTTCAGTTGTGAATATGCAAAAACCAGAGTTTGTTCTTATATTATTTATTAATTATGTATTATTGTCTGTATGAACAACTATAAATCTACTTTTGTCCCACCCTGTATATTAATTCAAATTATCCTTTCCATCCATTCTTAAAATCCTTAAATTTCATAAACATTTATAAATTCACATATTCAACTTAATTCACATATTCAGCATCATTAAGAATGATTTATGCTTGGATTTGCAAAGAGCCAAACATTTGAGAACCTAATGAACATTGTTTGAACCACAATTTGAAAGCTGCATTCAAAGGCAGCAAGTGATTGAGCAAGGCCACCAAGGAGAGAAACGCTGCAATTGACCTTGAAAACTCACAATCACACTGCTTGTCCCACATAATTACTTGCTTGTTTGTTGCTTTATTATGAAGAATAACCCTCCTGTTTTCTGCACAACTGAGAAACAGATCGAAGAAGTAACACGAACAAAGGGTCTAGCATTAAATTAAACCTAGATTCAAATTTCAACTTTCTTGCTTCCTAACTGGAGACCCAGCAGGTAATTTAGCCTCTCTCAGCCTGTTAGCTTACCTGTACAATGCGTATAACCATAACTTATAACATCGTACCCCTTATATGGTTGTTTTGAGAAGTTCTAAGAGATGACAGAGTAATTAACAATAAATGCTGCCTGGCTGGGCGTGGCTCAGCGGTTAAGCATCGACCTAAGATCCAGGCGATCCGGGTTCGATTCCCGGTCAGGGCACATGCCCCGGTTGCTGGCTGCAGCTGATCAATGACTCTCTCATCATTGATGTTTCTATCTCTCTCTCTCCCTCTCCTTTCCTCTCTCTGAAATCAATAAAGATATATTTTTTTAAAAAAAAGAATATATTTTTAAAAAAAACAATAAATGCTACCTATTATTAAACATACTCCACTTAGTAGTCTTTCCTCTGTGGAAGTAAAAGTTAAACAATTAAATTAGCAATTAAAGCTCATTATTTCACAGTTTCCTATCAGTTTTAATTTTCAAAGGGAAAAGAAGTCATATTTTGTCTTAGTTAGCCTCATTATTCCAGAATAATTTAGGATACCTTTTGTTTGTGCCATTGCTTGAAATTTATTTTCTTTCATTTTTGTTAGTTCTCCAACTTTTTATAGTAAATTTATAATGAAATACTCATTGTTCTGATAGAATCAAAACTGATTTTACCTTTTTTTGTAAAGTAATGTATTAATCAAATTTAACTTAGTAAATTCTCTTATAACTCTATTTTATGGAAAAGCTTAGTATAGTGTAGTAAGAATAAGTTACAGTTAATCACAAAATCTACATTGCCGCCATATATATGAAACCAGTCCTTAGGCAATTTCTTTACTTTTGGGTTTTCAACTTTCAGATTTATAAAATGAATGGAGTAAATTAGATTATTATGAGGTCCTTTATTTTGTATCATTTTACATATTAAGCTTACTTAAGAAACTAAATAATGGATTTAACACATGTTAAATGAACACATATTAAATACCTGCAGTTTAGAGATTTTTGTTCTACACACACACACATACACACACTCACACAAACATATACACATATGCCTTTCCAGTAGATTTGTAAAGCCAAAAAGAAGCTGTGAAGAAGTAATGAATTAATCAATAAACAGTTTAGTAAGAAAAATACAAGTAAGAAGGAAGAGAGATAAAGTAGAAATCAAACCTAAAAAAGTGGCTGAAAAATGAATAAAGTTTGCTCACTGGAGTTAACAAATGAGAAATGAAAAGATGTGCTCCTTTCCACAATTCTGCATCAATGCATGCCATATTCCTCTTTAAGGCATGCAAGGTAAACAGCATTTTGGGTCATGTCTTCTCATCATTCTTTGGCATATATGGCTTTTTACCCAAATTAACTGTTTTTCCTTTGTGTTTTGTGGTTTCAGCATGCTCTGTTTAGCATCCCATACTTGACCAAAGGGTGAGCTTAGCCCCGCTCTTTTCATTTATTTTTGTTCATCCAACAAATGCTTATGAAAACCTGTTACACCAAAGCCATCTGCCAATCAACAGGCTCGCTAATAAACTTTTATTCGCACACATACAGTTTTTGGTTCTTTGTCCTTGTTGGCAAGGCTTTAAGAAAGGTAAGTGAAGAAATATTTAAAATTGAGTTATATTTAAAGGTACTTTGAAACATAAATTAAATCTTCTGGTTGCTAGTCACCTTTTCTTTTCTTTTAATATAAACTGTGTTCATAGGAAACTTAATCTGTTCCATCATCTGCTTCATTAATGAATGCTGGGTGGCCAATGAAGGATAGAGATGTAGATATCAGGTCACCTGATTTTCTGGTTAAGCTTCTATACTAATTTCATCATCTATCATCGTCTTCCCATTAAGCCACTTGTAAAATATTTCAATTTAGGTAGTCAACAATAAATCATTCCTCTAGACAGAGACATTATATATATCTATATATATAAACACACACACACTTTTTTTTCCCACTTCCTATGAAGTTAATCTTTAGTTAACACTTAACTTAAAAGTGTTAAACTATCATACGGATATTCCAATAAGCTTCTAATTGATGATAATTAAGTGTTGTTCCCACTGAATTTTTTAAAATTTTGATTAATGTACAAGATCTTCTCAGCCCTAAACTCAAGGAAGTGTTTGTTGGAAAAATAGCTGATTGGACTAAAAAGTCTGTTCCCAGGGAGATCTATTTCACATTTACTCCTCTAGCCGAGAATCACAATCATAGAGAATTTCGTTGAAATAAGACCTCTACTAGGTCAGTCCAATGCACTCTCCTAGACTAGGGCAGGAATGACTTCAAATGCTGTTCCTTTGTTCATTAAAAGCATAGATTTATCTATTTAAATAAGATGTTTTCCTCACTATTTTGGGAGTGGCATCATCCAAACACTTAGGAAAAGACAAAACCAATTATATTGTTTGTTTTTGTAATATTAGGACAATACTATGTTTCAGAGATATTTGTGTATAACTAAAGTAAATATGACCTCACTTATATGTGGAATCTAATGAATAAAATAAACTGACGAACAAAATAGAAATAGAGGAATGAATACAAGGAACAAACCAACAGCTGTCAGAGGGGAGAGAGAAGAGAGGGAATGGATGAAAGAAGGTGAAGGGATTAGTCAAAGAACATATATGTACAGACAAGTGAGGTGATGACCAGAGGGAAGGAGAGGTGGGGAAAGGGGGGAAATGGAGACATTTGTAATACTGTGAACAATAAAATAAAATTTAAAAAATAAAATTAAAATTAATTAAAAATTCAAAAACAGTAAATAATTTTGAAAAATTTGTTGTTTTCTGTTATTAAAACATTGTAAAGCTGACACCTACTAGCTGGTGTTAGTTAGGCTAAGATCACAGGTTTCATCTCAATGTGGAGCAACAAACTTTTTTCTTTTTATGTGGCCAATTAACTCATCTTTGTTTACTGAAGTAAAATCACATTGTATAATTATACCCTCTAAAAATTAATGAAAAGGAATAAAACATGGATTCATCAAGGCAAAGTTATCCTCACTATTGCAAAAACAAGTCACAGCACATGTCCTACTGACCTGCTAAGTGTATCAAAGCAAAGATTTTAGAGTGATACTAGCTAGGCTCAGATTCTGAACATATCACTTACTAGCTGTGAATGACCTTGAAAAGTTACTAAGACTTTATGCTTCAGTTCCACCATCTATAAAACAGAATTAATGAAACCAGGCACTATGTGGTTTTTGGGAAGATTAAATGTGACAAACCCAGTATGCTGTTCAGCAAGGTAACTGGTACACGGTAAACTAAGTCTTCTAATGCATTTAATAAAAAAGGAGAGCTGTTTTCAACTACTTTAGTTACTGTTCAAATTATTTGTGAAATAAATCTCGAAGACTGGTTATATTTAGTTCTCTAGTGGGTAGTAAATATCTATGTTTCTCCTCCATTATGACTAAAACTTTCAGACTAATGAGGCAAGGGAAACTATGTTTACTGGTCTTTAAGTAGTATTCATCTGTTATAATAAACACAATTCTTAAGTGTAGACATTTAATTCCTGAGGAATGAGAAGTTTTGTCCAGTCATGGGGCAATAGGTAAAATGGGTAAACTGGTCAATCTGAGGCATGAGTTTTTAGCACTTTGCACTTTGCACTTTGGAATCACCTGGGGAGCATCTTTTTAAATGCTGGTGCATGGGTTATTTCCCCAAGAAATTATGGTTTAATGAGTCTATGTTGACACCTGGGTGGTAGGATTTGTTAAGAGTTTCTAGCAGGTGATGTTAATGTGCAGCCGAGGCTGAGAATCACCAAGGTTAAAGAACATTTGGCCCCTGGGTAAGGTCAGAATGTGATCCATCTGTAATGTATACAGCCAACCCCTCCATTCCAGCTAGAGTGCTGAACCTTCTCGAAGGTAAAGGGAAGAAAAAAGTCTTTTTTTTTTTAAATTATGTTTTCATTATTTTTTTCACAAACACCAAGGTCTATAAATTGAGGTTCTGAGGTAGATTAACATTAGGTCACATCTTAATGATAAGTTTATTAACATTTGACTAAATATCAGTCATGGATATTTAGAATTATTCTGAAGGACTAACATGAGATTTATAACATACATAATAGAAAAAAAAAGAGGTTTATCCTCTCTTCTTCATGCTGTTCTTACCTGTGTTCATGGGGTATCATGGAATTCCAGGGCTGGCATTTGATGCCACTCTTTGTGACAGATACCGTTCCCTTGTAGCTACCTCCTTTACCAATGATGCAGTTTCTAATGTAGTCTATCAGAAGAAAGCAGAAAAATGCTATAACTATGAGTAATATGCTATATATATTTAAAGGAAAAAGAAAATTCCATTCTAACCTTTAAGTAATTAACACTTGTAAACTACTCTATTTCAAATCATATTAAAACACCTTGCCTAAAGCTTCTACTAATATTTTCAAAATAATGCATTTCAGAATAATCTAAAACAACAACCAAGGCTATTGAGTTTTAATTTTGTAAGCATAAACCTGGATAATTGCAGAGTTTAGTCTATATACTGAACATAGTCTCCATACTCAACTGGCCCAACAAATTTAATTTGGCAGAATGATTTGTTCAACTATGCAGACCGTGTTAAGAAAATTTTAAAAGTGAAAATTAAGTGATTTATAAAACCTATATTGAATTCAGAAAGTTACTGTAATTGAAACAAATACTATCATCATAAATGAAATCTATAATTATTTCTTATAATGAGAGATTTATTTTCTTAATTTCATGTTTATTTAACATTCTTATTGATATAATTTTGCTTTTGAACAAAGTAAATACCTTGTGAATTTAATATCAGAATATCAAAATAGACAAATTAACAAATAATTTGGTCTCAATTCTTCTTTTTAAAAATGTTTAAAGAACAAAATAATTAAAAATAGATCCAACTAATTTTTTAGAAATCTCCACATTTTTTATTATCAGCGATCATCACTTAGTTATCCAAAGTAAAATTTAAATTACTATAGTAAGCTCAAAATTTGCTGTATTATAAGATGTCTTAAGCTAATAGCTTAAAGTGGCACTTTCTAAAATGACATGAAGAATACCAGCTCTAAGAGAGGCTCCTAGAAATAAAGGGGGATATAATTATGAGACGTTTGGGAAATGATCTCTTTAGTCAAACGTATCATACTGAATATGGTCATCTGTCTGAATGGATGAATTTACTGCATAACAGATCCAGTATATAACAGAAAAATCAGTGGGAAAGAGCACTATGGAAGGAAATTACATATATTTTACACTTTATTCTATTATGAATATTTAGGGAGAGGCCGTTACCTTTGTTTTCATAGAGGTCGAATTCATGGCCAAACTGTTTTTTCACTCCACTTGACATGCTATTGAAAGGGAACCAGAGGCATCGTTTTCTTGCTTTATCAAAAACAAAGGCCCTGAAAAAAATATCTGAATGAAAAGAAGGAATACTACTATTTATACAGTTTTTAAAGAATGGGCACATGGTTTAACCAAGGAGGGCGATATAAATGTCTCTCTAAACAAAAATGATCAATGCAAAATTCTCTTAACCAAGAATAGTAAAGTACTTGATAAAATTTTCTACATATTAAATGTTACCACTTCTTACAATAAAAGAAATGATGTTGGAATTCTGAACTGTTTTCTTTCCATTAAGAAATGGTATTAGCATTCCTCACTATGCTACTTACACTGCCACCATGTATAAACAACTCATTTTTTAAAAATACCCAGATTTTCTAAGAATAAGGATTTTTTTTATTTCCAGTCCACATAATATTTTTGAGAACAAATAATCTCATAACTTTAGATATTTCAATTTAGTCATTTATCTCTTAGTATTTTAGCAACTTTTAAATAACATTAAATAAGGGGAAATAATTTTTCTAAAATCAATATATAAAAGACATTATAAAATTTTAGAAAATATTTTACCTGTTTTATATTTTACTACACTTTATTCTATATCCATAACTTCTAAACATTATATTCATAAACCCTGTGCTTCGATTTACATATAGATATTTCAAAATATTTACCTATAAAAATATTTTACAGCTGAAATAGTAATTAAGAGCAAATCATAAAAGTATTATTTTTGTGGCTGTGGCAAAATAACTTGATAAGAGAGAATTAGATAATAATAGACGGATATTGACCTTGTAGACTGTAAGCTTATGTAATGCATGTTAAATTCCCTATTTCCTTATTGTAGACTGTTAGGGAGAGAGAGTTAAATGAACTTGAAACAATAGTAATTAAATAAAGAACATATATAAAAATAAAAATAAACATCTAAAAATAAATCAACAGTTTGCCACTTAACTTCACATTAAAGTAAAAAGTACCACATATATATAAACTAATTTTCCATATGGTTTTGACATGAGATCACTTTGCAGGAACCCCATCAGGAACATGCAAGGTTTCCTCTGTAAATATAAATGTGGTTACATCTGGAAAGTGGGGGTCTCCAGTTTGCTGATTTCATTCGCTTTTTTCTCTCCTTCCATCATTATGCCATATTCTCTCAGAAGTGTCTCCTTATATCATTTGACACCTCCATATGGACTGGATCCAAGTTGTCAAATTTAAGTTTGACTTTAAGAGTTTTTATCTTAGCCTTATTTTAATTATTATCTTCATTTTGAGAATTCACTTTGTCTAGTTTCCTAGTTGTTCATGGCAGGAGGGCAGTTCTAGTATGAGTAGCTCAATCATGGCTAGAAGAGGAAAGCCTCCTGTTTTCTTCTCTTGGGCCTATTGATGAATAGCAATTTTCTGAAAAGCTTAGAATTATACATTCTGGTCATCTTTCCTACCCAGCAAAGAAAAATTTCAGTCTCTATAAAATCAACTTTGTGGATCCCTTCTCAAGAGAAAACAGTGTTTGAGAATGTTCCATCCCATGCCCACTCAATCACAGATGCTTACACACAACTTCGTTGGTATTTCCCAAACATTTTCCTGTATTTGCCATTGTATGCCAATGATTCTAGTCCATATAACAAGTCAGCAATAAAATCCTTTAATCCTTAAAGAACCTAATTTCAGAGTATCACAGTATATATATTTAATTCTGAATAATTAATGTGTTTAGCGATCCCAAACACATATGTATAATATACACATATTGGGGAAAATGAGTGAGAGGGATGACACCATTTCTAGGCAGAAGAACTTTGGCTGTGCACAGGTATTATTACATGAGATTTTCTGTACAAGTTGCCATAAATTTGGAGACTAAATTTAACTCAACAAGAATATGGTAGGAAAATATGAAACCTCATACACGTGGAGTATGTAAAGGTTTATTAATCAGGTCGTATATGTTCTCCAGTGAAGCAAACTCATTTTAGTTTCTCTTAAATAAAACAAAGGAAAAGGTCTTTTGTTTTGTTTTGTTCTTAATAGGTATAAGGCTGATTAAAGTGAAAATTGAAAGGTAGCAATACCCTCCTTTCTTGTGGATCCAGGAAAGTGTATTTTCAGATTCAGAGTTAAAAACCAGCAATGAGATGTGGTTCTCTGATTCCCTTTGTCCATCCCTTCCAAACCCGAGGGGGGAAAATACAGTAAATCCAACCTCCTCAGTTGCCAGAAGAACATCTCCATAAACCTATACAGCTGAGAAGTTGATTGAGAGTGGTTTTCTCTAATTTATTTTTAACTATCTCAAGGCTTTTATCAGAAAGTCAGGGAAAGAAACAGAATCATCATAAGAAAATACTTGCAAAGTCAATCCCCCACTCTCCTTGCCAAGAAAGATCTCCCTGAAAGTGGCGGTTTGGCTATAAAAACACTTCCAGAGGAGTTGTAAATGAATAGAAAGAAGATAGTCTCTCCCCCTCTAAATCTATTGAAGAAATCTTCTCTGACCATGTCCTTTCCCCTCAGGCCCATAACACTCATTTCTCTGAGAAAGGCAAGATGAAATTAAGACCACTGCCATGACATTACTAAATCTGTGTTCACATTATGTGTCACGACCCAAATGTAATAGAGTAGAATTTAAAATTCACAGAGTGTCATGCTCAATCCTATAAAATGTGGGCTGAAACAGGGAATGGAAGGGTGGAAAGTAAGTGAGGGGAGAAATGTTTAGAGAAGAACTGGGAAATGCATTTTCCTTGGGCAGTTAGGAAGGCTACTCAGATGAAATTGTCACCTTCATGGCCTAAAACTTCAAATGTTATCCTCTGGGATTACTGACAAAGTAGTAAGGAATTCTTCCCTGTGAGGTCACACAGGGACTTACACAAGATAAGAAAACACATTCTGAGTCCACTCATGACTCTGAATTACCCCATCTCTTTTCACCTAAAACTTCATCATCACTACCCCTAGCCTCTGCTGCTGACACCAATCCCTCTAGTTTTTTTATCTAATTCTCTCAACACTTTTTATTTAAATCTCTAAAGACAATGACATAAGTTACAGTAAATTTTGGCTGTTGCCCAACTTATATTCTGAAATTTTCTTCACTCTTCTTGAAAGGAAAGAAAAAGTTTACTCTGAATAGAATATTTTAAAATGTTTTCTAAAACATTTAAAAGAGAAAAAAAAGTCAATCTAATTAAATTTTAGTTCCTAAAGTTCAATTGTTTATAAGATGAGAAAGTATTAATTCCATAACCAAAACCACTGTGGATTCTAAAAGATATCAGTTATATGCACTTCCTTACTCAAATTTCCACCAATTGAGAGCTAGGTCTTCTGTTGTAATGTGTCTTAAACTAAAACCAAGCTTATAATTTTAAGGGCAAATTACATGAATACTAAAACAAAACAAAAAAGCACATGATAGGTACATGCTATGTTTGAAAAGTATCCTAAAAACAAAATGAAGACACTTACTTGCAAGTAAATGGAAGTCCTTTATTCCTAATACATCTATTGGCACACAGGTCTGCAGTGCTCATTTTTTTGGTTTTTATCTTCAGTAATGGGTCTTCTTTAATTAAAGTAGTCTTTGCTGACTTTTTGAACTCATGAAGTGTGTTTCTTCTTTTCTTCTGTCCTTCTATTAATAATAATTTTTGAAAATAAGGAATAAGCTTTTAAGTCTCATGTAAAAAATGTCATCAAGGATCATCTGCAAGATAATGATTTTATCTGACAACATACTAGATCTCCAGAGGTTGGGGATGGAGCAAGGTGAGAAATGATACTCTCAGGGAGTTAAAAGAAAAGAGAAATAGTATAATCAGTGAAGAATAAATAACTTATCATGTAGAGTCACTTAACTACATTCTTTCGAATGAAGGATGTTTTTAAAAATTAGGACAGAGTTCACTCTAAAAAAATAAATAACATGATATTCTCCAAACAGTATGAAAGCAAGGGCCAAGGCATATCATATCATATCATGCTATATAATTAAATTTGTCATTTCCTTCTATAAGTGGTCCGTATGTAAGTTACAGTATTAATTGGATAACCCAATTCAATAACAGGTGAGAAACTTCTCACTAAAAATGGTGTAGTGGACAAATTCTTCTGACTTGCTCTTTAAAGTATTTCATACTATTCATATTTTAGCGCTTCTCATTTCCTACATAAGTGTTTTCTGTGCTTTGGGGCACTATTTCTTAGTATCACTGAACTGTTTGTCTTGAAATCAAGCCAAATGCTGCAAATCAAATGTATGTAAAACTTTACCTTTAAAATAGCAATATCATTTTTCTTCATGAAAGTATTATACAAGGCCCCTAGACTGCACAAAGCCACCTACTGAAAACCTGAAAACAAAACTAAAACACCCTAAATGATGTAATCTATTGAATAATATTCGAGTATCAAGAACTTGCTTCTTTATTCTCAATTTGCCTAAAGTTCTCTGGTTTCTAATAATGATCACCATCTTCACCATGATAATCAAAGTGTCTAAGAGACTGCAGCTATTGTATAATCAGGATAGACATGATTGGGCTCCTCCTCTTCCTGTCAATCCTTTTGAACACCCTATAACAAACGCACTAATAATACATTCATTTTTAAGATGTAGATACCGAGACACAGGGAATAGTTGACCATTTAGGACATCTGATTTGAAACCCAGCTGCCTAGCTTCAGACTCTTAAATACTTATAATGCTTTCTTTTCTCTTAGAATTCCTAAGAAAGGATGTGAAAATATGGCTTGTAAATATTTCCTGAAGATTTAGTAGAGCTATCAGTAGAGAAGTAATTTGGACAGTAGAACAGGAAATGCATTCCTGGCTTTTATATGTGGTGAAATGTGTCAAGAAAAGAGAGTGAAAAATTTTGTCTAGAAAATTTGGAAACATGGCTAGCAGAGTGAGGTACCAAGAATGGCATTATACTCTTAAGTTTGCCAGCAACCACTGGCTCCAGTTGGTTTATTAAAAGGACAGATGCTACTCATTAATGTCTCTCCTAACCTGAAGTTCACAAAAATAAGAGAAAACATGAAGTCCTCTGAATTTCTGGTTCTCTGTAAAACTCCAGAAACAAGACCCAGAAGACTGGTACTAGTTTCTGTAGTAGTGCTTTCATTTTTTAACTTTTCTTTGCCCTACAAGATTAAATGGCTATGGTACTACAGATATAATTTAAAAGACATTTTAACATAGAAATTCAATCAACCAAATAATCTATCAACATGTTTTTTATTGAGCGAGGACCAAGTGCCTTGCATAACGTTGGCAGACAGATGATAATTCTGGCATTCTCATTGACTTGCCAAAAGACCTTGTTTAATTACTGAAATGCTAATATCCCAATTACTGAATCTGAAAAAATAAAAGTTGAATTGCATTTGAACTAAAAGGAGCTATTTAAACTATAATCATTAAAGTAAATATTTGGAAATCAATTTGGATAATGTTATTAATATGCAATGTTTTCGTTTTCTTTTTGAAAATTTATTCTTTAATATCTGGCACAATAGTGAAACTTATTCTCCCAAGCAAAAAAGTAGTATAATTCTTTCAAATTTTGTTTTCTACCACAGGACCATGTTAATGGGAGAAAATTTCTTCATTAAGAGGTTCTCCTTCTTTTGACCTTAGTGAACTATTTCTCAGATGCTGCAAATGTTTCACAGAATAACTATCTGATTTCCTGTATAAGTAGAAATATTTCTTAGAAACAAATATAGTTAATAGATGAAGATCATCTATTTCAAAAAAATAACTATCCACCAAAATGGAAGAATTTATATATAAATGTATGTATATATATGTATATATTCAAATGAATTCTGTTAACTAAAAATATTGAATTAAAACTGACCTCGTGTATAATGTATTTATTACATACATCTAAGTGATAGAGAAATTTTAAAAGTTTAAGAGAAACATTAAATTCAGATATGTATTTTACTAATTACCAAGTAAAATAGAACCCTGGTCAATGCTGTTTCTCTTCTCAATACCATGCAATATGAAAGTGAGCATTGAAGCCTACTGTGAGAAAGTCTCTCTTGGTTTGTTGACTGTGTTTAACTCTACAGATCCTCAGTTGTCCTATTGAAATGTGTTAATGTGTGGCTATACCTCATAAAAATAGTTTACTTTTACTTGCTGATAAATTTTTCCATCACTACATTTCTTCTAAAACTCAAAAGACATTCTAAAATGCAAATAAATCTATGATTTCCCTTTACTAGATAATAAATAGGAGCAAAAAGCTTGTCTGGGCTACAAAGCTAATCAGAGGCAATTGGAACCAGATACCAGGATTCCCTTTTCACTATTTATTTCTCATGATTTAGAAGCTTTCCCTTATAATTCAGTCATTTCTCCTGGGTCAATAACTAAGTACTCAAAAACTTGAAGTTCAAGCTAGATGTACATCATGTAATCCATATACCTATAAAATTAATTTCTTCTTCAATAAAAAAAATTCAAAACAGAAGTCATTCAAAAACAGCATCCAAAAATAAATATTTTTTTTTTTTTTGCTAAAAACAGTTTCAACTTTCTCTTCCATATTGATTAACAACTGATGCTTGTTTTACTGAAAACAGTTAAAAAACAAACAACTTGGGAAGAAACTAAAAAATATCTTTGGATCAGACTTTACCCTACTATTTTTTGTGCATGACTGTTAGCTGAAGTTTATAAACAAAATATTGAAATGAAATCAAAGGGTGAGAGATCACTCCAACTTTATCATCTTTTCCTGTACTTTAAATTGCAACTACTTTTTTCCTCTTCTGCCACTATGGGAAACATTCTGGAAGCTATATTTCCTGAAGAACCTGAAGTCCCTATTTTAGAACTGAAATAATTAGGAACATAGTGAAAACCTACAAACAGAGAGTAGGGTCAAATGTATCAAGGTGCTTGAAGAAAGACACATTTCTCCCTCTGGTCCCTGGGCCTCACACTCATTTCTCTCAGTACCTCATATATTTTCTTCTCTGTATGGACTAACCATTGACTTCAAAGGAAAATCATGCAAGGAAAGGATTTGCAGGGTGTGGAAAGAAGCAGGAATCTGGCTCCACAGATTCTGAAAAACCTACCCACATGATTAGTGATTAACAGCTTGGAGTGGCAAGATGTTAAGATGAAAGAACACAAATAATTAATGGAAGGGAATGGTTGTGACTGGAGATTTTAAACTTCTCAAAGACAAGAATCATAAATACTAGTCCAGATTTTCATTGCAATGATCTAGGACTTGGATTTCACAATCATCTCCCCTTCTTCAGAGAAGGTAACAACATCACAAATAAAGACGTCAAGAAGAAAGACTTAAATCATGTCAGGCTTTGCTATTTGAGAAGCAGCGCAATAATCTCTTCCAAAGAGATTTACAAAATGAGGAGGTGCTCTGTGTGAGATTAGGGGCCTCCCTAGATATTTGCCTCCTCTCATCCCATGTCCTTGCTCAGTGTTTCATTGGTAGAGAAGCCCCCCTGGTCCCTTCCTTCCCTGTCTGCTCTGCCTACCACTCTCTCTCCACACAGCAGCCAGCCAACCGCACTGAAACGTGACGTCTGTCAGGTACACTGTCAACTCAAAAATTTTCGGTGTCTGCTCATGATGTTCATAATAATGTAGTTTAGCACGACAGTCACCGCCTGGGCATGCCATCAGACCTTACTTCTCTAGTCACGGGTCAGGCTACCCCCCTGCAGGTGCTCAACATGCCAGCCCCACATGGCTGGTTAGCTGCCCTTTCTTCTACTTTCTCACCTCAACACCTTTGGTCACTGCATGTTCCCCTGACTTAGGTACTGACTATATGATTACGCATCTTTCCATATTTAACTGGGGTGCCATATACTCCCCAAAATCTAGTTTGATCTTTTACCCTAGAAATGCACTCTCTCTCATCACACTATACTAGTATTTCTAACACAGAGTTTTTCTTATATTTCTCAGCAAAATTGATTTTTTAAAGGCAGTTTCAGTTGATTTTACAGCTATTGGCTTCAATGTATATAAATTTTGTTTTAAAAATCTCATAGACTTCATTCACATAGATTTGGGTAAGAAACTCAGCTCTATTCCTTAACTAAGATAACAAGATAATTAAGGTCTTTAACCTAAGTTTCCTCATGTTAGATGAGTCCAACAATGCCAATCTTATTAAAATTAAATAAGTTTTATTTTTAGAGCTTGGTCCATAACAGTTGCTCAGTCATGTAGGTTTCTTTCTCATTTGTTCATCTTTAAATCCCCTCACATTAGGTGCTCATTTAATACTTTAGGTGTTACAAGGGGTTGGATATTTGTTTCCAGTGTAGGTGGGAGTAGATAGAAGGTAATTCTCTGTAGAGCAACTTTTATAAAAATGGCTTGGGTCCAGTGTATTGAATATTTCTTAAGAAACTTTTCAATAAAATATCTCCATAATACATTCTGCTCATAACTGGTTGTCTGCCACCTTGTTATAGTATCCAATTCTTTTCTAACATTGCATTATTTTACATTATATACAGTACAGATGCATAAGACAAATCAAAAAGTAACAACAAAAAGAATTCTAAGTGTTCAACATTAGATGATACTAAAAAGAACAAACTTTCTTTCTATGTTCTAAGAGGGCTATCCATGTTTTCCATTTTGAGGAATGTAATTTAAAAAAAAAAAAAAAAAAAAAATACTATCAAAATAAACTTGCCACCCAAACAAAGGCAGACCCTCTTTTGATGACAATTTTAGCATTATCCACTTCAGGAATTATTCACAACATATCTGTAATTCCCAACTGGCTTCTCCTTGCCTGCCAGCAGGCTCTTGGGCTGCATTTTCTCTATACTCAGGAAACACAGTCATTTCAACATTAGCCAAAGTGAAATATAATTACGAATGTATATCTCCTGCCAAAACATCATAATGCATGCCAAAAGCAAGTAGACATTGTCTATGGTTGATCTACTGTTTGGGTTTTCCACAATATTCCCCTTGCATTAGCACAGATGATTTCAGGTAGTCATAGTCTACTTCAGACCATCAACATTTTAATCCTTAAAAATGAAAGCCCTCAAAATATTAGACATGATTTGAATTTATGCTTAAATTCCCCTACACCAGCAATGTCTTATAAGAATCTATTTTAACATGACACTTCTCAAGCATGATAACCTGGTGATTGCACTAACTTCATTTTCAGCCCTTCAGAAGTCTGACCTACATGTTTTCAAACTGACCTTTCTCACACAGTGTTGTTTTCCAAAAGGGCCAATTCACAAAAGAGAAGAAAGCCAGGTGGATTGAACGATTTTTTATCATTTAGCAAATCCTTGATGTTTTCAACCCTTGTATTACATCAGGATCTAGATCAGAGTTCTAATGTGATGAACTTCATACTTAACACATCACAAATGATACAGCCAGTTCTCTGTTTTAGATTATAAAAAGGCTGTGTCTACCATCTGGGCATTTGTTCCATTCTTTTATTCTGTGCCCACGCACGATGCTCACTACCTTCTCCCGTTGGCATCCCAGCCCCTACAATGATAATACAACCAAATGCAGATGTTTCCTCTTTCCCTAATAATAACAGAAAACTTCCCAAAGCAGTAAATGAAATCTCTCAACTTTCAGGCAATATGAACTCCCAAGCAACTCCTTTCCAACCTGTAAATTCAGAGGAGAAGATGAGACACTGAAAGGAGCTCTGCAGCTTTACTCAGAGTTACATGATTTTTGCCTTCTTTGCCCTGCAATTTCAAAAGGGCAGGCATCCATACCCAGAAGGAATGAGATCTTAGAACGGAGTCTTTCTCTTTCATTTTCATAGCATACATATACTAAGAGTTTAATCTGCTTTCTCCAAATGTAAACCTGCATGAAGCCATAATTTGGCCCTGAATGTTTACTGAGTGATGTGGGGTAGTGGATTGTCACAGAAAATTATCCTCTGGGAAAAAATGAGTCCCCTCTTCAGACCAGACCTTCTGCTCAGCTTTCAACTTGCCCAAACCATCCAAGTTCAAGCCAGTGTTAGCGCTTCATTCCTAGCCCTCAGTCCACAGCTATTAGGCTAAGCGAGCAGGGGCCGTATCAGTAGGGGGTGAGGGTGGGGGACACCCCCTGAGAGGATGTTCATTATCATTTTAAATGCTTTGCAAATAGATCAAAAGAAAGGACTATGAGAAGTTTAACAAAACCATCCCACAGACGGAGCTAAGAAAGGATGCTGGGGCTGGGGTAAAGAGAGTGTTAGGAAAAGGCAAGGTTAGCCAGAGAGCATTAAAATAACAGTAATAATGAAAAAGTGAAAACTAACCTGCATAGGGGATGGCGATGGGAAGCAGAAGGAGATGTGCGAGGACATGCTGCAGCAGCAGGACTGGCAGAAGTCTGGTCACCCACATGGTGCTGGCCGCTGGCGGGTCCCACTGGAGGAGATGCCTGGGTGAAAGGATCCTGTTCCGACTCAGCCCCTAAAAGAGCGAGTCCGCTCTGAGCGGCTTTTTATTGCGATGAGCTAAATTTGTTGTGTGATTAACTGGAAAGATCTAGGTCTGAACTCCCTCTTACGGTAAGAAACTGTTTAACAACAGCCCTTTACTCTCTTCCACCCCCTCCTTTCCTCACTACCCCTCCAACAACACCAAACAGATCCCAGCTCCCCGCCACCACCCCCCCTCTCTGCTTAGGAAAGAAACTTACAAAGAAAAGGTCACCTGGCCTGGGGCCAGCTTCAATTTGGAAGCTCGAGCTCCAGATCCCAGTGGCTCCTATCCGAGTAGGGAAGGGGGGAGCAAGGCTCAGCCCAATAGCTAAATCAAGGCACAGGCAGAGAACCAATTCGCTAAATTTAAACAGAGAAATACATGTGTTTACATATCTGTTTGGGAAAGAGGAAGGGGAAGCAGCTAAGAAGAAAGCAAAGAGCTGCTTTTCGGTCAAATGTGCCGTAGCTCCTGATCTGTCTAGTGTCACTGCTGGGGCAGCCTAGGTACTCAAAACACTGACACAGGTGCCCGAGGGTGTGAGAGACAGGCTGGAAGGAGGGGCCCGCTGGAGGCAGAGCTCGGCTGGTCCAGCCCAGGTAGAAAGAGGTTAGGCAAGAAAAGGGTGTGGTATTGTTCAGTTAAAATAAATGAACAAGTAAAACAAAAGCACCCACAAGGTCAGGTGGGAAAATTGCCCCTGTCCAAAGGATTCAGAGCAGGCAGCCTTTTTCCGAAGCTCTGCTAAGCTCCCCGTCACCACAAATGTATGCAAAGTGCATGAAGGAAACTTGTCTGGTCATGGGTCTGATAAAATCTGATCCTGTTCTCAAAATATCTAAGAGATTGGGATTATCCACGGCTTGTCCTTGATGGATCAATGTAGAATGAACTATGTGTCCTTGTACACACACACTCACACACTCATACTCACACACACATGTCTGTATGATGCGTGCACCTTCAGAGGCTCTCTGGAAATCTCTCAAGCTGTTTCAATACACGAGTGATGAATGAACCTCTCTTCTTAAACTCTATCCCCCTGCACTCGCCCACCAGCCTCCCAAAATCTAAGTGGAGGGATGAAGAGCTTTGTGGAGGGGTGGAGGGTAAGGGGGACTCAAGTCTGTAGAATCCTTGTGAAATCATTGCCCAGACTTCCCATTTTATTGAGAGGATTTTCCTTTGCACTATTCTGATTACTTTGGGCAAGCACTTGCTTTATTTTAAATGGATTTGGGGGCATAGTTGCCACATGTGTCTCTGAGGTGAATACAAGTGGGAACCAGCATCTCTGTCAACAGCGGAAAAGAAAGTGGCATAACGTGAGAATGGCTCTGGAGCAGTATGGCTCTGTACAGAAGAGGTAGCGGACAAAATTAATGCCATCCATGGAGCCGCCTCACCACCTTCTCTCATTTCTCCTCCTCTGGCTCCACCCATCCCCATCTCCAGAAAAAAAGAACCTAAGGTTGCAGGATAGATAGGGAAGCTGGGGATTAAGAGGACTACTTTGAGGAATCCACTTTACATCACCTTTTTATTGTTCACTTTTCTCTTTGGTCATTTTCTCCTCATAAAAACAAAACCAATCAAACTTTAAAGTCATTTATCTCCTTCTCCCTAGTGTCCCAAGTATTCATTTCACTTTCCTCTGACTTTCTATTGCAGTTTTTGGGAAAATCTCAGTTTTATTGTTGACCATGATCCTGAATTGTCTCGTTACATCCCCTTGGGCTTTATTAGGGATTCAAACTCCTTTTAAAGAAGCTAGATTTTTCTGTAAGTAAATTCTTGTAGGTAAAGAATGAAGGGGGCCAGTTTTTCTGTTTTCTCTCTCTCACACACATACACACACACACACATAAAAATACACACAAAGCAGTATCAGGGCAGAAAGCATAATTTCAATTACTACAGGCTTGCGGCAAAATATAGCCTGAATAAAATATTATTTAACAGGTCACACATTTTCACAATTTTTTATTGTCACGTTGTTGGTGGCTATGAGAATGGCACCAGGTATTAGACTGGTGAGGTCAGACAGGACCTGGGTTCAGCAACCTCAGTACTTGAATTCTGGCTAGGAAAGAATTCAAAGCCAAGACTCAAACTATAAGAAAACATGTATTTAGAAAATCAATGAGGTAAATGAAGTAGTTCATAGAATAAATGGGCTTAGGAAACAAGTTATAAAGGCAAAGGAAAGGCCCTTGGAGCTTAGAAGTGAAGAAGGTAAAGGTGACACACCTCTGGGGATGGGGAGGGAAAGGCAGGAGATGCTCCAGGAAGGGAGAACATGCTGGGTCCTTGTCCTAAGGGTTTTAAGGGTGAAGATTTTAGAGGTGCAAGGTCTATTCTGTAGCTGCTTTCTGCTGAAGAGGTATGACATTTTTCTTCAGAGCAAAGAGATCCTTGCTCTCTGTCAGAGGGAGAATGAGGCCTGGATATGGAAGGAGGTGGCGATGGTGTCTAGAGGTGATATTCCCCAAGTATGAGTAGGGCTGGTAACCTGGTGTGTTATAAATCTTAGCATCATTGGAGCAAAAGCTAGAATGATGAGAATTATGACAAGTGATCTGATGGAAGGAAAAATATTTAGTTCTAAGTCAAAGGATGGAAGAAAAATGAAACATTAGTTTGGAAGGTTGTAGTCAAATATTTAAGAAAATTAGAAATATTCAGGATCCATTTCAATTCACAGGTGAAAAATAAAACTTTGAAGGCACTTGAATTAGAATCTAATGTTCACAACTGTCTGTTATAGTCTATTGAAACATAATACCCCCCCCCCAAATCACCCTTATTTTTATCAAAGAGCCAAATTAAGACTAATTTATTTACTGTATTAAGTCCAGTTTCAATCTGGCCCAATTATTTGCATAAACATGACAAGAATAGCAATTGATCATATAGGTTCTCTTAAATCTGCTTTGCTGGAATCTCATGATTGAGCTTCAATTAGCCTTTCAGAGCAAAGAGGCCGGCCACCTAGTAACGCTCAGGTTTGCCTGCAATACCCATAGGCTTGGATGAATTCTTCAAGTTCTCGAGATCCCCAAAGATGTCTTGAAGTTCCTTTCTTGCATTTCTCAGGAAAACAACCTTTGTTCCTTACCTGGAAAGACTGCCATGAACCATATGACCAAGCAATGTATCAAGCCACTTCTCCCAGGGGCTCTTAGTGGCTTCAAAGTCAACAGTCATTCGTTAAGGCTTTCTGGTGACATCCAGAGTCCAGACATGACATTCCAGCCAAAGTCTTGGTTAATAAAACCACAGCTGGAAACTGGTCTTATGGAAATCATGCAAAAAAACATATTGTCATGACTCACTCAATTGCCAAATTCTGGAGGGATCAGGTAAGGGAAAAAATACATAATCTACCAAATTGCTTTTAAAAAAGTAAGTCTCTTTATATCTGGAAATCAAGAGGAAAATCCTTGTCCTTTAACAAAGTAGAAAATAGAAACTCAAATGCTTACTTTTGCTCTTCGAATTCATTTACTTAATAAATTTATTATTCAGCTTACTTATATAATTTCCTTTTAAGATTTTTCTTCACAAACCTTCTATAACTTTCATAAACCTTCTACAACTTTCATGAACCTTCTTACCCATTCAGAAATAACCAGCTTTAGAACAATTTGCTTCCTTTTCCTTCAAAAATTCTCTCTCTATACCTTATATCTTCTATCAACAAAACCATATAATTTCTTTCAAATTAATTAGAATTCTTAACTCTTAGAAACCTTCATTATTAGTGATAACTAAAAAGTAATCAATTAGCATTTTTTAGATTGGCAAATACATTTCATAACTTCTAGAAATATAGGCTCCTCCATTGGCAAATACACTCACACTTTTAAGAGTCATATTTCTAACGAAGTATAATACATTTATTAACAGTTCCAAATCTATTTTCCAGCTTTTTGTAATAAAAGTAGGTGAACTTAATATTTGTCTAGCAACCAATATTTAATAGCCAAAATAAGTTAATTTGATCTGCTTAGATAGCTAAAGTTTTCCTTTTTCTTTCAATAAGGATTATCTCCCAGAAACTTGGTGTTGTTTTTTTTAAATATATCTTTATTGATTTCAGAGAGAGGAAGGGAGAGGGAGAGAGAGAGATAGAAACATCAATGATGAGAGAGTCGTCATTAATCGGTTGACTCCTGCACGTCCCCAACTGGGGATCGAGCCCACAATCCAGGCATGTGCCTTGACCAGGAATTGAACCGGGATCTCCTGGGTCCTTGGTCAATGTTCAACCACTGAGCCAAGACAGCCAGGAGAAACCTGCATTGTAAGAGGTGGTTCAGATAAGAATTCTCAAACAAGATCAGATACTTGCCTTTCAAAGGTACAGGAAAGGAAGTGTAAATTCCTCCTAGAAGGACATAGGTTTCATAAAGCCAATTATCAATAAGCCTCTTGAGTTGAATCCAAGAGGTTTGGGGAAGGTAAAAAGATTTAGTGAGCTTTGATGTTCTAGAGCCATGCCTCTGGCCCTATAAAGACTTTATTTGTAAAACAAGGACAGTCATTTTTAATAGCTCAAGAACTGGGTTGTGCCCAGCCAGGAGCAGCACAGCGGTTGAGCGTCGACCTAGGATCCAGGCAATCGGGGTTCGATTCCCAGTCAGGGCACATGCCTGGGTTGTCGGCTGCAGCCGATCAATGACTCTCTCATCATTGATGTTTCTATTTCTCTCTCTCCCTCTCTTTTCCTCTCTCTGAAATCAATAAAGATAAATTTAAAAAAAAAAAAAAGAAAGAATTGGGTTGCCACCCAAATGTTGGCAAAAACTAAGAAATTTATTCACCTATTTTTGGATTTTTTTTTTTTTTTTTTTTTTAATCTGAGTACATTTTCTTTCAGGCTCTGTAACAATTACAGAGAGATCTAGCTTACCAGTAGTACTTAGCTGAGGGTCATTTCTGAAAACCATAAAGGCTTGAGTGTATGGAGAAGACACATTGAT